TTACAAATGGCCAACGAACTTTGTGGACATCCTAAGGTAAAACGCGTAAAAATCACGAATGATGCAATTTCTGTGGTGCAAAAGCTCGACGCACTTCACTACACTAAAACATGCTCGCTACCGTAACCCTAAGTTCGGACGCCGGCTTTTTAAATGTTTCCTTTTCTTTTCAAGAGTTTTTCCTCTATGTTTCTGTTGTTTTTTGTTTTCTTTTCTTCGCATTCGATGATATCCACTACTGGGAGATGTGACAAAGTGATTTGTGAGCCAGGGCTTGCACAGAGACCGCAGGGAGGTGTGACTGTCAGGGCGCGATTTTGTTTATGGTGTTCTTGAGGGCTCTTGTTTTTTTTCCTTCATTGAGGAATTACTTATCAGCTACTGTTTCATAATTGATCAGCAATTGACACTTTTATCGCGAGAGCTGCCTTTAATATGTTCTAGCAGTAAAATTCGCCTCTGCTCTGGACTCATATCAGGGGATGTACTATCCAGCATGAGCGGGTTCACATCTTCCCAACCCTCACGCCATTTCTCTGTCCCCCACTGACCTATCACGTCTCCTTCTCTACAGATCATGGGCTCATCGCTATCGTTCACCACGGATACATCTACACTTCGACCTTTGATGGTATACACACCTGCAACCATCCCAGTCATGTGTGGCCAAATGAGGCGATCTCCCTCATAACCATGCCCCTCACATCGAGCCGACACAATCGCTGCACTATGCGGAGTAATGTACGCCCTCCTGGCTACTATTACCTTTCTTGTAGAATTTCTTTTTCATTGACATCCATAATGTGGAAAGACACTTTGGCTTTTCTACCTCCTTCTAATTCTACTGTAATCTTCACAGCTCCCATAAACTCCATGCGATTACCTCCTTCTAATTCTACTGTAATCTTCACAGCTCCCATGAACTCCATGCGATTACCTGATGCGTCATACACTGGAACCATGTCTGAATTAGAAATCATCTCTAAACTGTCCACGTCAAAGCCACTTCTTTGTGCCTGTGCCAGCACAGCTATTGGTACTATGCTAATCATTGAACCCGTATCAAGCACGGCGCGCACCCGAGCTGACAACATGCTGACCCATGCTGAGCATATCTCACCTATTAAGGGTCCACTCATGTCGCCGTTGGCTCTTATGCCAAGGCTCCGCGCACTCTTGATCAATCCTGTCATGTTCTTACGGTTCTCTTCTGACTCACTTGTCGTATTGTTGGACGTATCCACTATCTGGTTAACGCGGGGTCTCCTCCGTGGACAATCCTTCCCAATATGCCCTATCTGCTGGCAGTTGTAGCATCTTCTTCTATCGCTGCCTCCTTCGCTACGACCTCCCTGTTCTCTTTCAGCGAGACCCCTAGTCCCACCATTCCGAACCTCCTCACTGGGTCTGGAATGCCTCATCTCGCTTCTGCTGGCCCCCTGCCTGGGCCCATCATTCAAATTGACTTCGCTATGCCCTCTGTCCTGACGGGTTTTAGCTCGAGCTCTCGCTTCCTCTCTTCTTGATGGTACGCGGCTGACCTCCTTTTCCATCCATCTCTGCCCACTCTCGGAGTCCATATCGCCTTTGACTGCGATGCTCAGAGCCAACTGCTTGACGGAGTCATACGCCTCAGTGGGGTCTACCCTGTGTAGCGTGCTCAGTAGGTGGACGTGTTCTGGCCAATCCGTCAAATTGTCCAGAAGTATCTGAGCGTACTCAAGCGATCTATCTTTTATGCTACAAGAGGGGTTAGCCTGTCGACCAAGTTTCTCCAGTGCAAGACAAAAATCCGCAACACTTTGATCCCATCTCCGCCTTAAGGTTCTTAGCTCGGCCAGTGCCCTCAATCGTCCCGCCGTTGAATCGTTTGCCAATAACTTCCTTAGTTCTTCCACTACTGTCTCGAAACTTTGCTCTCTTACATTCCTAGGCAATGAAAGAAAGACACTTTTAGCCCTGCCTTCCAGATGATCGTCAACCATAATTCAAGCAAAATCCGATCATCAAAATAACAGTCCTATATTTTCGTTTAAATCGTCTTATGAATTCTTCAAAATTATCGCCCTTATTCCCTCTGAATATCCCAGGGCTCATGCATGCATTAGCTTGGATAAGTGCCATGAAGTTCAAGGCATCCTGACCTGATGTGCCGTTTTGTCGTCCCGATATCTCCGAATGCTGCCTCGAGGCTGGCGCGTAAGCTGCTCCAATCGGTGACGTCCGACTTCTCCGTGGCAGAATCTGAACAAAGTCTCTGTTTGATGAAAGAGCTATCCTATTACTCCTATCCATTGACCGACCTTCATCGTGCTCGGTGTCCATCTTTTCTTCATCTTCATTGAGCTCCTTGCTGCTTCGAATGTTCCTCCTCGAAGCCTGGATTTCGCTGAGTACTCCACGTATGTGCGCGACGTCAGTCTGGAACATGTCACATATTACTGCTAATAGTTCACCATCCCTTTCTGTCACACTAATATACTCATTCAGATCCTCCATACTTTCTATCCCCTTATCCTGAAGCGTCTGCAACAGGTCCTTGCCA